TGTGTATATATATATATATATATATATATATATATATATATATATATATATATACACACATATATACATATAAAGATACACGTATAATATGTATAGTGTGTGTATATATATACACACACATATATATATATATATATATATATATATATGAAATATGCGTTATGTAAGTATGCGTTATGCAGGTGTGTGTAATGTGTGTGTGTTTGTGTGTGCATATCTGTATATGGTGTGAGTGAGTAGATACACGAGCACACGTATGCTTACATATAAATCTGTACTTGCACGCAATAAGTCACAGCCACCTATCCAGATTCGCGCGCGCACAAATACACACGACTATATAAGTATGCATATCTTCTTTTCCGCATTTGCACCCTAGATATCTTCGGTATATGTTATAATCGCGAGTATATCATATGTATGCGTATATGTCGACATACGTACGTGTGTACGAGAACTTCTATTCAGCATGTATTCACACGATAGATATATACGCATACATATTTGTATATATGTGTATATATATATATATATATATATGTGTTTATGAGGGAGGATATCATCTCTCTGCGTTCTGTGTAATACGTAGAAGTAGGTGTCGAAATGAGCTGCTGCTTTTATCTTCCTCCCTATCTACCTCACATTCATTCATTCGGCTCACATTCACAATCCTTATCGCATTCGTCACCTTTCATCGCATTCGTTTCTTTTTCTCCCTCTCTCTCTTTCATCGACATGACAACAACGTCAATTATTATGCGATTCGATTGCTACATTTTCACGTTCGCTCTCACTATGGTTCGCCGGTACCGACATCTTACTACAGCATCATACTCTCACACTACCGAATTCGCTGGATATAGTCGGGCGGCATACGCATGCCCGTAAATCAATAAATAAATAGAGGAACAACATTCTTCAAACATCTCTTTTTTCTTATAACAACATTAGAGGCTCTCGGAACGTAACGCAACAAATGTTCAACAATACAATCACGAAAACAAATAGAAGGCACTCTTGCTTTTTTTCAATAAATTAATTTCTTTGTTAACAACTCTCACAGATTCTCCCTACGCGTCCTAGGCCTTTGTCGCGTATCGTATTATCTCTACGTACCACACGTTCTCGGATGTTCATCGAAATATCATCCGTTAAACGTGCGCCGTATCATTTTTACATGTGACGGCGCTACAAACTTCATTTGCTTTTCCGTTGCCATCTGTTTTTTTTCTTTCTTTCTCTTTCTCTCTCTCTAGAATGGACAATCATAGCTACGGTATGCGAGATACGAGATAACAAATTTATTTCACATTTATAGATAAAAGAAATCCACGTTCATAACAATTAGGTAGAATATTATTTAACCTTTAATATTATAATAATTTAATTATTGTTATTTGCTTGGAAGCTCACAGCCGACACATTTTTTTAATTCATTATTTTTTCATTTAATATCTTACCTTATTCGCTTGTGGGTACGGAGCGATTCGTCTTTCGTACTTGGGTCTCTCTTTTTTTTTCTCGTATTAACAGCTACAACACGTTACATTTTGCGCGGAAAATTTGTTAACGAAAGGAACAACAAATCGGTGTTATACTCCGCTCTACGTGATGAAATATATATGTATATATATTCACGGTTACTCTAACGAGAGAGAGAAACTATAAGTACGGATTACCGTCCTCGGCGGTAAAAAATGAAAAATCATGGAGATGTGGCAGTGCCTTGAGCAACCGTTTTATGAAATCAACCCTATCTCGCCTCCCTGTTACCCTTCTCTCTGCATTGTTTTACTCTTTTGTTTATTTTTCTTTTGAACACATGACAAAATCGCTCGTCTTTGTACGATAACAACATTATTTGTTTTCTTCATTTTTTTCATTTGTTTCTCGGTTCTATCTTTTGCTAACTAATCTAGCCTTGCTCGCGAGATTCATGGTTTGTCGAGCCTATCACGCATATAACATTGGATACTGTAGTAGTATGTAATATTATACGGTATGTAATATATAACGTAGATGTATGTAAATGACGCATCGTACCTGCGCGTATATGTGCCTATTAAGATAGAAGTTTTATTTCTCTCTTAATTCTTTTCTACGCACTTCTCATTAAAGATCACCAACTCGCACGAAGTTGTACAACATAGGTACGTCCGTCATCTGTCTCTTTCTCTCCCTTCATAACCCATCATGTAACAATTAACAATATCGTAGCCGTTATCGCGCGCTCACGCGTCTGTACAGGTCCGTCAGGATCACATTCTCCGCGGAGATCAGCTAGCCATCGCGCGATCAAGAACCGAGGAAAGATATCGTTTTTCCATAGCGAACGTTACCTTCGCGTGTTGTGTGGGTCTGAGATCACCAGAGAACATTATACCGTAGCGTTGTGTGTTTGCACATGTTTCGTGTACGTGCACGCGTATATACGTACGTACGTATGTTGTGTGTCTGTTAGTATGTGTCGATCCCGCATTCGTCTGTTTTCACAGTTTGTAGCCGTCATTTTAGGTCGCGCGTAGTTTTTCTTTCCGCTCTCCTAAGATAACATATCTCGATAAGAAGACAACAAAGAGGGCGAAGACGTGAAAGAAATGGCTGGGAAGAGAGAGTCTACAGAGTCAACGCTTGCATCTGATGGCACGTTTCGCTCAATTGATCGCTCATCTGATCGCCGGCCGCCGGATGGCCGCGTGGTGTACCGGGCGGCGTTATCGGCATCCTGTTGACTGTGCCCGCTGTCGGACCGTCGCCGGCGCCTCCCAGACCGTCGTCGTTGAGCTTGGTCGCCGCCATCGCTGTCGACTGCATTATACCGTTCACCTTGTACTTGTTGGGTTGTCGCAGCATCGTCGTTGTCTGCGAGCCAGTGCTCGAGTACTTGTCGGACGGCTTCCGATTGGTGGACGATAACGTCTGGGTAACCGAGTAGCGTTGACGTTGCTGTTGACCGCCGATGGACTGCTGCTGGGACGGGGGCATGGACGAGGTCTGCTGGTAACGGTTCTGAGCCGGTGCGGAGTAAAACTGGACCTGGGGGGTGGGTGGTGAGACAGTTGGAAGGGGCCGTGTCATGGGTGAATAGGGGGCTGGCGGTGGGCTCGCCGCCGGCTTCTCCTGACTGTCCGCGCTCGCGTTGTTGGCTGAAGACGAGTGAGCGGGTAGCGTCGTAGCAACGCCGTCCGCAGTCTGACAGGCGGTATCGTAGTTGACATCGTTATTAGATCGACTGTTGCTGTCGTTCGCGAACGCGTCCAACCGGGCGCCGCCACCTCCGCTTCCATTCCCTCCTCCTCCTCCACTTCCTCCTCCTCCACCTCCTCCTCCTCTATAGCCGTTGTTATTCGGCAGACAACCGCCCTTACGACCTGAGCCGTAAGAGCCGCTCATCGACTTGCCGATGTCGTAGTACGTCTGATCGTCACTGCCGTAGCTCTTGCGCCCGTTGGCCGCGTGCTCGTAGCCGGACACGTTCGCGTTCATATAGTTTGCAGTCGGCTTGTGCGCGCCGTAGTTGGACGCCGTGAGGTTGACCCTGTGCGCGGTCTGGTTTGATCCGTAGCCTCCGCCACCACCGCCGCCACCGCCGCCACCGCCGCCACCGGACTTGAGGAAGCAGGCCGCCGGCGAGCCCACATTCGATCCAGCCGTCCTCTTACTATTATACGGTATTGGTAATCGCGACGACATCGCTATCGTCTGATATTTGTGTGACCCGTCCGCCGCCCCATTGCCGCTACATTTGCTGTTGTTATTATTGTGGTTGTGCGACTGTGAACCGCTCTGCGTATGCTGTGACGACTTGGCATGAGTGTTCTGATGATGCGTTAACGGATGGTATCCGTGATTCTGTTGACCCCCCTTCGTGTAGTTACCCCCTTGACCGCCGGTGACCCCCGTGTACTTGCCGCCGCCGCCGTCTCTCGAGTTGTGATGAACATGCGTCTTTACGTTGTTGTCGTATGACTGATGTGGCGAACTCGCCGAGTACGGTGTCGGCAGTAGGCTAGCAGTGCCGGACGCGCCGTGGTAAGGCGACGGTGCATGTGGAATGTACACGGTGGCCGGGTGATAAACGATTGTGCGACAGTGCATCGGCGCATTGGCGGCGGTGCAGTCGTCGGAATCGCTCGAGCAGTTTTGCGCGCTGTGCAAATTGGCGGCGGCGGTGTGTATCGCGATCGGTTGGTAATTAGCGTAACGACCGGACACGGGGAATTTCACGGGCATTAGGGACACCAGAGGTGTTGTTGCGGCTGAGCCTGAGGCAGCCTGCGCCTCATTGTGCGGTTGCTCCGAGTGGCTCGGCGTCGAACGTGAATCCTACGATTTTATTGCACAAAATAATGCTTACCGCTCAATGGGATTGAGCGCTCAACGCGCTGCCTGATGATAAGATGTGTTTGAGGAAGAAAAAAAAAGAAAAAAAAAAAAACAAAGAGGCACAGCGGACGTGGACAATTCTATCGCGGAACGGAGATCTTTCGGACGCGTGACGATTTTACAACCGACCTCGTTCCACTTTTATTATCGCGCATCGTGCGCCATCGTGCGTCAATCCTGCGCGCGCGCGCTCTTGTGCAATGTGATGGAGAATAAATTCTCATAGCGAATGTAACCATCGACAGTTCGCCCGTTAATAGTGACTAGTAACACCACCAGTTACCGTTGCACGTCGATAAAGGGCGACTCTACAGCGACGTACGTGGAAAGAGTACCTCTCCTTGCGTTCGCGGAACATTAGGACGCAACTCAAACGAATAAACATTCTGAAAACGTCGAGCATCAGAGGCTCGTATAGCGCTCACGATCGCGAGACTCTAGCAACGCTCAAACGTGTCTACGTAGGTCGACATGGAATCAACGACTAGGAACTTTAACAAAACAAAACAGCTTACCTCCTGCTGAGCAGTCTGACCATCAGACGTGGTGGTTTGCTGACACGATGCGTCCGTAGCATACAACAACAGCTGCTGCTCGGTCAGTCCCATAGGTGCGTGCGGCGGAGGCGGTGGGTGCGGGCCAGCTGCAAAAGAGTAGTACAGATGATCCACCTGTGCTGGGGGAGGATGTGGGCCCGCGGGCACCGGTGGATGATGATGTGGGGGCGGTGCAGCAGGAGCGTAAAAGTGCGTCGGAGGTGGAGGAGGCAGAGATGGGAGAGGCGGCGGTGGGCCCGCCGTCGGCGGGCTAGTCGCTCCTGTACCATTATTGCCACTGCCGGAATTATTGCCGCCACCGCTCGTGTTGCTCTGCGAACTGCCGGTAGCGTACAAGTACTGGGGCGCCCCAGCAGCGGCCGCTCCTGCGTAGTAGGTTTCGTACTGTAGACAAAACATAAGGACAATTTGAGTATCCTTGCTCATTCGCCGGCATTCCAGTTATGAAGATCGACGCGAGTGTTCACGTCTTTCTCAAGCTGTTTCCGTGAAAGAAAAAAAAAAGACATTGAATTCGCCGGTTTCGGTGACTTACAATTTTGCTTTCTTTCAGTGTTGGACTGTGTGTGTAATTCTTTGAACGTTGAACGCACGTACACAGCTTGTGTCCGTTTGGGAGATATCTGTTTCCTACATATTTTTACTCTCCCGTGTGAAATCCCGTGAAGCTTTTTTGTTAATTGTTTTCAACGTGAAATCATATTACACAGAGTGATGTTTTACTGCCGCATCAATTATGCCAAACTGGCGTATTCTTGAACATTGTGACGTTTATGAATGTAATTAATTTTGTATCCGAGGTATATACACACGAAAAAGATCAATAGAAATAATCGACAAATAAAATATCATCCATGTACGCGCGCAACGTAGATAAAGCTCTCAAAGTTATTAAAGTTTATCTACTCGATTCTTGTTTCTCTTTTATAAATGAAAATAGAAAGATATATTTCGCTCGAACTTTAACTGACGTTTATGAGAACAATGCTTGTTCATAATGAAAGTAACAGGTCCATATAAAGTAACTCTATGTGAGTCACACACACAAGCGAGACTGCATATACACTTCGATCTACGTGTGTCTTGATATCGAGTAACGATCTGTCATTTCCTAGATCATCCCAAATTAAAGAAGAGAACGCAGCATGTGAGAGACGAATCACTCGGGGATTACACTGATGAACGAAGCGTTAATTACTACGTGGCGTAACTATTTATTATTGACAGTCAACGTCCAAAGTAAATCGTTTTATCGTTTCGTACGTATATCTTACATTAAAAAAAGAAGAGAGAAAGAGGGAAGAAAGAAATTGAGAGAATCTCGAAATTAAGCCGTTCTAAGTCCACTTTGCGCACATGCCTATGTACAATAAACACGCTTCTCGATAGATAGTCTACAGAGGATGGCTTTTCGATATATATTCTATTTCCGCGCTATTCTCCTGAGTGTCAGAAAGGTTCCGCTTGGAGGGAGGTCTACCGCGACAATATTAAACAGCGGGAAGATATCGTTTCAGTAAACGCGCGTCGCGTACGAGAAAACTACTACTGGCGTCGTCGGCAGGTGAGACGAACAACGATGCGAGAAATGAAGCAAACATGCCGAGTGCAACGAGTACAAAAGTCGCTAAAGCGCCTTAACACATCTCCGTCGTAAAAACACTTAGTCACAAACCATTATTAAAAGGAATACGTGTATGAGAGCACAAGTCACAGATTTGTGAGACAAAAAGGGCACTGAACGAGAACATGCATCGGCAGGCCGTGTGAGAGAGGTTTGGCAACAAAGAAAAAAGGAAAGATGCTAAAGAGATGACGAGCGGCATGCTCGAGTCGCTTAGCATAGACCATATACCTTTAGACCTCAATACTGTATAGCGTCGAGAAGGACGTAAGTAGGCATTTGCTGAGGGTTGGGTAGAAACGCCGGTGGTATAGCTTCCCCCATCAGACCGTTTGTCTGTCAAACCGCAACCGATATACCGTTTAATAAAAATACAAAATATAGAGACGAAAGAGAAAGAGAGAAAGATAGAGATAGATAGAAAAGACGGTCACAGGATCTTAATGCTAGTATCTATGTGTGTGTATGTGCGTGTATACGTGTGTATAGGGAATACCCAAGGAGTCGGGCCTTTCCAAACGAAAGGAGAAGGATCAAAGAGGACAGAGAAGTGTAGAACGACTGATAAGCCATCGATATTCTTTACATACCGGCATAGGCGAGTATTGGTATTGCTGTGGCATGTACAACGACGGCGCCGGGCACGGATACATCACAGGAGCGAACGTTTGATGGCCGGTAGCGGCTTGAGGACCTAGACATAACATTTACATCACCGGTCACCATAAAGTCAACAATAAGCGTCCCAGATTAAAATTGTCCGCGTTTGTATTGTCGAGAGGGCTCGCCTTCGAGAGTGCTCCTCCTGTTCAGCGGCTATTAATACTTTTCTGGGCAAAAGTTCGCTCGAGCTTGCGATTGTACAACTTTATAGATAAATTAGGCACGTGTTTTCTTTATTCCGTTGCTTTCGTTAATTATTCAAATGTGTAAAAATCTCGCCCAGTCATTTTATAAACTCGCGCTGGTTTGCGTTTCATTTGCCCATAAGAGTAATCCAAGATTACCATGAGATCTGTTTTCCTTCTAAATTTGATTCTGACTTTCGACTAAACACGCAAATTATACAAAGCAACGCTTTGAGAATGGATATATACATAATTTAAAGAATCCTAATTTTCCGTTAAAATAATTTTTTAGCAATATATATATATATATATATATTGCAATATATATATATATATATATTGCTAAAAAATTATATATATATATATATATATAAGATATGATACATAATATATATTATATATATATATATATATATAAGATATGATATATAATATATATAATATATATACATATATAATATATTATATATAATATATATTATATATAATATATATTATATATAATATATTATATATGTATATATATTATATATCATATCTTATATATATATATATATAATTTTTTAGCAATATATATATATATATATATATTGCTATATATATATATATATATATTTCTAAAAAATTATATATATATATATATATATAATTTTTTAGCAATATATATATATATATATATATTGCTATATATATATATATATATATTTCTAAAAAATTATATATATATATATATATATAATTTTTTAGCAATATATATATATATATATATATTGCTATATATATATATATATATATTTCTAAAAAATTATATATATATATATATATATAATTTTTTAGCAATATATATATATATATATATATTGCTATATATATATATATATATATTTCTAAAAAATTATATATATATATATATATATAATTTTTTAGCAATATATATATATATATATATATTGCTATATATATATATATATATATTTCTAAAAAATTATATATATATATATATAAGATATGATATATAATATATATACATATATAATATATTATATATAATATATATTATATATAATATATATTATATATAATATATATATAATATATATATAATATATAATAAATATTATATAATAATATAATTCGCTAATAATACTCACCAAACACTCCCGTAGCTTGATAAATCGTTCCCGGGTCCGTCGGCGGAGCAATGGAAGTTGCCGGTGCGGGAGCTGCCGTGTTATAGAATGTCATACCGTTCTGATAAGCAAGACCCATACCTGTACACACACGCGGGAGAAAAGAAGAGAGAGAAACGATTAGAAATACGGTCTCTGACGCTCCTCCCGATTGTTCGCGACGCATTGTTACATGTGTCGTGCGCGCAATTATTAGCATACCGTTCGTGTAATAGTAAGTACTCGTAGGCACGGAAGGAGGCGAACCGGAGCCACCGTCGAAAGATCTGTTGAAGGGCTGCTTCTTGATCGCGGGCGCTATATTGAGCTTTCTCTCTCTCAAGACGATGCATTCGGACTGTAATGATGAGTGGAAAAATAGAAAAAACAAATAGAAAATAGGAGGAAAAGAAAAGAAATCTTCGTTATCTCTCAAACTCGTATCAATAGTTGTTACTCGAAACTTGAGTAAACCTCAAATAATATTTTCATTAAAAAATCTGTATCAATAATCATTCAATGGTATTTTAAACTTGCCTCAAGTGAGATACCTATATTTGAATTTAGATCTGTATTAATCGTTACTTGAAATGTATAAGTCGTTACTTGAAATTTGCTTTAAAATATTGCTTTGAGATATTCAAATTTAAATTTAGAATTAGATGTTTTTCAGTTGAATCACGACTTACAAGTATAAGGTCACGTATGTCACATGATTCAATGGAAAAGCTCAGATTCAGCTCCAAATTATAATTTGAATATCTTACGTGAGATAAATTTCGAATAACGAATATTAATACTGACTTTAGAGTTGGATATGAATTTTTCAATCAACACATCCAATTCTAAATTCAAATCTGAATATCTTATCTAAAATATGTCTTAAGAAATGACTATTAATATGAGACATAATTAAATGAAAGTTTTTTCCAGTTAAAACGCGATTCCATGCTATCCTAATATTTATTTTGGCAATACTAAAAATTTATAGCTTATATATGTTATAGATTTTCAGTACTGATAGCGAATATCAAAACAATTTCAGATATAAATGTCACATATGTCACAATTCAATTGGAAAAAAATTGAGGTCTAACTCTGTATCAGAATTCGAATATCTTACATAGGACAAGTTTAGGCGACAACTATTATTAATACAAGCCTCCTTTAGTCGCCTCAGCTGTCAGAATGATCACGCTGAGACGTCAGGACGATTGTCTCGCGGCACAAACCTCTTGCTGAAGACGCTTCGCTTCTTCCTCCGTTTCGAAAGTGACGAAGCCGTAACCCTTGGACACGCCGGCACGATCAGAGATAATTTTCGTAGCCTTAACGTTGCCGTAGGCCGAGAAGAGCTGTGCAAGTTCCGCCTCGCTGGTGCTGGCCGAGATGCCACCAACGAAAATACGATTAGGTACCAGCGTGCCGTATTTCGGCGCAGCCATCGTGAGACTCGCAGCCGAGGCAGGGCTAGAGGCTGGACTAGACCCCTCCGTACCACCGGTCGAAGCCGAACTCTAAACAATCAAAGCAAGTCTCTTATATTCGTACGGGCGCCGCACGAAAATCGCGCGAGGGACGATCTTATCTCGCCTGAGATTCTTCTCTCGAGGAATGTATTTTGTCCGGTCAAATGAAAATCGCGACGTCTCGCGGACATTGCGTCGCGCTATTTTGTGCGTTCCATCGAGTATCCCAGGCGCTACGAGGCTCGTGACACGTTCTCGTGATTTTCGGGGACGCAGAACCTTGGTATTATTGCACCGGACGGCTCTGATCAGCACTGTTCATTGTACTTGTAATATCGAACTAACAATCCACTTTTCTGACACGCATTCGCTTGACCATTCATCTCAAGGAATTTATTCACCAGATACGTATTTTCAGTGCATTCAAGGAGCGGCATATCTTTAGTCGAACATCGGGGGAACTGACTTATATATACAGAGTGGGCCATTTTAATTTATCCAGTTGAATATTTCGAAAACTAAGACCGGCAGACAAAAATGTTTCAGACAAAAGTTATATGGTTCGATGGAGGATATAAGAAGATACCATTGATTTGACTTTGCGTGGCGCCGCCAACGTCAGGTCGAGGTCAACTTTGCTTTTTTAAATAGAAACATATATTTTTTTATTATGGAATTTTATTCTACGTAAAGAAACAAACAACTTTTGTTTGAAAATATTTTTTATACGACCTCTATTTTCTCAGATATTTACGGAATATTTACTGCATTTTTTGCATTTACTTGAAGTACTAAAAAGTTAATCGAAAAATTCTGAAGAAATTCTCAGAGCTTTACGAGAAAAAACAATTTTTCTCTCTTGCTATTTTTCGGTAAAATTGATAGAATTCGAGAAAAAAAATTATTGAAACCAATAATTTTGTAGATATTTCCGTAAATATCTGAGAAAATAGAGGTCGTATAAAAAATGTTTTCAAACAAAAGTTGTTTATTTCTTTATGTAGAATAAAATTCCGTAATAAAAAAATATATATGTTTCTATTTAAAAAAGCAAAGTTGATCTCAACCTGACGTTGGCGGCGCCACGCAAGGTCAAACCAATGGTACCCTCTTATGTCCTTTATCGAACCATATAACTTTTGTCTGAAACATTTTTGTCTGCCGGCTTAGTTTTCGAAATATTCAGCTGGATAAATTAAAATGGCCACCCTGTATATAAATCCGCTATACTGAGAGAAAAATTATCTTAAAATCAACAAATATTTCTTTAAGGGGTGCCATTAGCATATTTACTTAAATCTAAATTATCTTTATTGAAATCAAATATTGCTTACCTGATTTAAGGTTTTAAGATAATTTTTTTTCAGTATATTTATTAAGCAAAATTATGCCTTTATATGTTTATTTCACTCTGCCTAAATAATAGATGTTAATACGACACTAATTTCATAATCACGACACCTTGTCACGTTTCCTTCAACACAATATTGTGCTTAAAGCATAAAACAGCAGTTTTCGAGAATCGATCGTTACACAAATAGTAAGTACTATTCTTTCTTTTATGCCGTACTAATATTTATAACGATAAGTTGTTCGTTCAGATGATATCATTTTTCACGAAGTTACACCGAAGCATTAATCACTTATATTGTGTTTGCCATAAGATCCTACGTGCAAAATTGCGATATTCAATATCAAATTTCTCACGAGCAGTAGACAAATCGCGTGAAGTTTTAACTACAAATGTATCTTAGCGCAATCAATATTATGTTAGATTTTTGCACGTTAGGTTTTCAGCACATTGGTTTAAGTGAGCGAACTTCTTGAGAAGCAGCATCTGACTGTCATTTACGACTGTTTCATGATCGTGTGGACCTTCGAGGAAAGTTGAACTTCTACGAAATACCAGGAAACGCACAATAATATGCTCGCACACAAAAGGGGAAAAAGGGAACTTTCTCTAGAAACAGAGTCTTTGACTTTGTCTTCTTAAAGGCCCTCACACATAAATTGCTGTAGAATGTACCGTAAGAATTGGTCAAGCATGTTAAGTATTTTTGAACTGTAAAATTGCCCTTTTCAAGGATACTCGGTCGCAATTGGCCAATTCTTAGTGACCGTCTACAATGTGCAGAACAAGCTTGGCGTAGATTAGAGCATAAAATATGAAGACAATTTATTTCACTTTTATGTCTCTAGACTACAACTCTTTTATAACGGAAAAATTTTTTTTACTATTTTTTTTACTTAAGAGAAACACATTATTTTTTACTTTAGAGAAATATTTCTGGTAAAGGAAATTCTATTTCCTATAAAGGAGTTAGAGTAAGAGTTGGAGAGAGGGAGAGGAGGAAGGGGGGGGGAGAGAGAGAGAGAGAGAGAGAGAGCGTAAGCAAAATAAATAATTTTTATTTCTTATTTCAACTTCTTACGCCAAGCTTACTCCGCATATTGTAGACGGCCACTTACGGTACGTGTTACGTTATGGCTACAGCAATTTGTGTGCGAAGGCTGTAAGCTCGCCGGTTATCGTCACGCGTGTTATATCCCATTGAGAATCGACGTCCTCGCCGATATCTCGTCGCAGAAATATTCGAAAGCGGCGAGTCTCGCAGTCGTCAATTTGTATATACACGTAAACAGCACTCGTTAATTAAGAGCGCCGTGCTCTCGGCGGGCGAGAACGTTGATTACGATGTATCGAAGCAAAAATGTATATACGCGGAGAAAATATACAGTATCGGCGTTTCGCAACGTTTCCGCCGCAATGCAAATATGTTGCTACGTATTGTCGTTTCTGTCTCTCGTTTTCTTACTCGCGCAAAATCACGTTTTCTCTCACTATTTTCTCTCTCTCCGCGGGCACGCGTACCATCTTCCTTCCGTCGATAAGCTGTATAAATTTTCACAGTAATTTTTTTAATATCAAAATGTGTAACACCCAGGGATTACGCCGTCGCGTAATCATATTCCCGACGGTCAGAAGAAGTATATTAACACGTGCCAAAGGCTATCTCGCTTCTCTTTCGCAACTATTCTCTTCCTCTCCCTTTTTATGACTTCACACAAGCAGTTAAATACCTCCGAATTAGATTCTGCGGCGGTTAAATCACTCGACACGCAATTGCACCGTGCGACGCGTTGCAGAACGAAGGCACGTAAGTGTGCGTGAAGTGTTAAAATTAACATTTCGAGCGGCACACCGAGAAGACACGACGTTTGTTTTAATAAAATAAAACAGATATCACACATCGTGCATCCACAATGGCTATGTATCTTTTGCATTTTCTTCATTTTTGTTGACACGAGACATTGCGTATTGACAGCATCGAAAGCTTGTTTCCATTATTCCGCAAAATATTGACTTTGATAACTTTATCCCGCATAATTTTCTGCTCTACACTCTCGCGATATTGCGCGATGTTGCTTTGTACAAACTTCGATTGCGAACGCAAAGGAGATTTCAACTCGAAGATATCAATTGATTACCAACCGTATCTCGATACATATCATCGAGCTCTCCCTGTTTGTCCGGAGGCCATCTAACCCTGAGAGCGAGCGCGAGGGTTACCCTAGATTTTTTTCCCTACGACGACGACGATAGGAGTCGTGAGAGCGAAGGGGGTCTCGAGTCGATCGCGAGTGACAGATTTCGCGTGAAAAGAGACTGGCGTAACGCACGCAGCTGTGTGATCGGCATCCGGAAGGCGAGCGAGAGCAAGACGACACTACGCTACACAAAATATTGACTAGCCGGTGGGGCAACACGTCGTCGCTCACCGTTCCAGTTCTACGCGAATTTACGCGGAAGCACGCGACGTAGGTACGAACGTGAACGCGAGGAGAGAAAGAGAGTGGGAGGGAGCGAGGAAAGAGAGAGAGAGAGAGAGAGAGAGAGATATATACGATGGACGCTACGCGCTATATGACCATCAGTCCCCACCCTTTCTTTTCTATCTCTTTCTCTCTTGATGACTGTGACAGCCAAAAGCGCGGACAACAAACAAACAAGCAACACACGGCGTGGGTCGTCTTGACCGCGAAGAACGCGTTTTCTCTCTCTCTTTCTTTCTCTCCATCTCTCTCTTTCTCGCTCTTTTATGATTCTCATCTGCGAATTTAGTTCCCGACATCGTAATTCGTGTAAGAATGATTTCCAGTGTTTACTCGCGACAGCACGAAACATGATCGACCGTACACAGATTATCTCCGTGTAGAACCGTGTGTCGTCGTAAATCTGACCCGCCGACGTTACGCCAGTTCCGTAGTTTCCCGAAGCCCAAGGGCGATCGTGAATTTTGACAGATTCGACGCGAAACAAACGACGACGCACCAGACTAGCGATCCCGACAACGCGCCCGTCTCCTTCTCTTCCCTTGCTTCCCGACGATACCGGAGAAATCGAACGCCGCCCCCCGTGACCGTCGGCCATCCGTCCGAGTCAGTTTCCCCATATACGATCGACGCGCGCCACAAGCCACATATACATTGCTCTGTCGCGCGCCGCACGAGAAATCGTCAGGTGAGATCGCCTACGAGGGAGCAAAGACGGCGAGGCGGAAGGGGGAATACTTGGCGCGAACGTCGCTTTCGAACGCGGGGTGCCCCGAGTGTCGCTCGTCACTTTTGCCATTGTCGTTGTCGTCGTCGTCGTCGTCGTCGTCGTCGTCATCACTGTAGTCGTCTTCGCGACGGCTCTTCGCCACTCGCTATATGATTAATACATACAGGATTATATTAAAGCGATTGCGTCCGTGCGGGACGCCACGGTGACAATGAGCGAGCCGGCGAGATTGGCGTTGCACTGTTGACGACGATGACGATCGACGTCGACGATAAATGAGCAATGTCGCGCGCTCACGACAACACATCTAGGCTCGACGAGGGTGTTAACTAAGGCGGGCACACTCACCATCTTTCGACGGATTCGGACGCGCAGGAGGATCTGCTAGCGGCTGTCCCGGCGGCTCGATGGTACCCTGGCCTCGCGCGAAGTCACCTGGACGCCCAGGGACTGCCAAGGACCGTTGCGACCACTTCAGCAGCACTTCCAGCCTCCGGCGGAGTTAGCTGCCGTCCCGTCTCACGAAACCTCCAAACACTACGGAGGAGACACTCTCACAAGATGGCCGCCGGCCGAATGCAACGCCACGCGGGGCAAAGCGACGTACTGCCGAGTGGCTCGCGCGCGCTTGCGGCACAGACTTCTATATACTAACTAGACTGCTGACTCTGGGCGATGAGTTGGTGGTGGGGATAGGCGCCATATTGAGTGACCTGCTGATATGTGTGTACTATCTATGTGTGGTGCACCACGTGATCAATTCACGACTACTCTACTCAGGAAAAGTATTTCCAAGTAACGCTTCGTTATAGCTGCGTTCGAGGAGACGCTATGAGTGTGCTCTGTCCTTGTTTGTTCTTGAAAGTTGAACAAGGATACAGGACGCTCACAGCGCTAAATAGCGTTTCCCTGAACGCAGCCTATGGCTGCGTTCGTTTTGGCGCTTACAACGTTCTGAGCATCATTTCATTATTGTTTCTATCAAATGCTAAACAAGGACAAATGATGCTTACACGTGCTATAAGCGCCAAACGAACGCAGCCTTAGTAATAAGTTATAAAATCTGATCTAATTGACTCTAGCAGTGACTGTCAGTGTGCTTTAAGGCCTTTGCATGTAGAAAAATTTTAACCGTAACCGTAAGGTCGTAAGAAAACTGATCAATCACAGCCATTTATTCTTCGAACGCAAGGAGAATAATTAACTCTGATTGATCAGTTTTCTTACGACCTTACGGTACAGTTAAAATTTTTCTATGTGCAAAGGCCCTTATGATGTGTGAGTAAAGCCCTATGCACAATGCCAGGCAACAGGCAATAGGAATAGGCATTAATCAATAAGAACAGGAAATAGAAATAATTGACCAATCCAAATTCCTATTCCCTGTTTTTATTGCCTGTTGCCTGGCATTGTGTATAGAGCGTTAGAGTCACTAAATATGGCGTCCTACACACCCTCCACTTGTCACAGTTTTCTCGGAGAGTCAGCAGTCTAATTAATATATAGAAGTCGGTGGCTTGCGGCGGCTCTCACTGCCTCTCTGTCTATGGCCGGTATTCATAGTCTGATTTTATATTTAAGATCATTTTAAGTACCGTCTTAAGATGTCATGAACCAATCACAGAGCTGTATTCGCATTTTAAGACATTACTTAACATGGTCTTGAAATAAGATTCGACTATGAATACCGGCCTATGATTGGCGCGACCAATCAACGCGTCGCATGTGTGCGCGAAATCGGCACGGTGCGTGCGCATTCTATAGAAGGAAGGTAATGTAGGATTCACACCGCGTCCGATGTCGACGTATAACGTTCGATATCCAATAGAACAGTTTTCTAATAGAGAATTCAATTCTCCATTGGAAAGCTATTCTTTTATTGGATATCGGACGTCGTACGTCAGACATCGATGTAAATCCTCCATAAGTGCCAATGGATTCTCTCAAGATTCAACGTACCGCTAGAGTGCACTTGTGTGTACCCGTGCTCCGTGCATTTCCCGTGTCCTACACATCGGTTATCTTTTTTTAGTATCCTGGTTTTCTCTATTGGGCGCGTTTAGCGGAAAAAGCGCTCAGTGAGTAATCAGCGATTATTGGTTCTTACCGTTAGATCCCTAAATCTAGACCAATTACATTGACGAATTGCTCAACTGTATGCAACTGTGAGTTCGCTGAACGCACCCATTGTGATAGTGTTTAATTTCTACATACTCTCACTACGTTATACGAACGATCGCAATGGAATTATGAAAGTGAGATATGAAATATGCGATTGAGTAGAGATGTAGAGTTCTCAGAAAATGTTACTGATTAAAGGCAGCTCGTGACTACGATCTTTACTGATATCGTTACGATTTGCAAATTATGCACATATATGTCAGGATTCTAGAAGATTCTGTATTAAAATTGAATGAAGTAGTCATTGGGCCCACATCTGTGGGCTAATCGAGGGAATCTTAAGCATCGACATAATTCTCACGATTTATAACCACTACAAATTCAACTGCATGAAATCCGTGAATTGTATCTCTGTTATTTAGATAATGGCGGCGGTGTAACGGCCACACGTTAAAGAGGATCGAACTCACCTAATTCGTGATGGACGATTCGGGACGATTGTTACCGGCAATACAACATATCATCGTTCAACTCGCTAATTCGACTTGTAATCGAAGAGAAACGCGACGAATAAAACAGTAAAATACGAACGGCAAACGAGAAACGCGGAAGAAAAACGAGAACAACACACCTCCTCACTGCATTGTTGACGACGCGCGACTAAACGCCTCAAAGCTGCCGCCTCACTACTCTAGTCAATTTCACGATCCGTGCTGTTTCCTATCCAATGTTCTTTGTTATGCATAACGCTATTAACTTGCATTGAAAATTCAACGGAATAATTATTTTCGTGAACGACAACGTTTCAATCTGTAAAATGGTGAAATATTGTTGAACAATTATGCGTTATACGATCACCGTGACATTGCTTTGATTAACATTGTAGTTGACTGCCGCCAAATTTGACGCTCGAATGTTTTGATGAGCGCGATTGAGAAGGAAGCGGTAAAGTCACTCTAAGCAAAGTTTGGCCATAAGGAAATAACTTTTGATTGGTCCGTTATGTTTCGTGAAATCTCACACAATATCCAATCATAGTACGTCTATGGTAGTAGCTTAGGTTAGATTAAGAAAAGATAAACAAAGAAAGAGATTGAAAATATGTCTCTCTTTCTTGCAGAATTTTGACGAAATCGCGCATTATGACCAAACTCTGCTTAGAGTGACTCTAGGAAGCGGTATATAAAGACTGTTTTGTGGCGGAACGTTTGGATTACTTAAATTATTTGAAACTCTCTCTCTCTCTCTTTGAAATTACGCATAGACTGATTAGGTCTAACAGAAAATATACCGCTGTTTAATAAAATAAATTATCGTCAAGCATAAATGATATTATATAATATATAAGGATAATCTTATATAAATGTAGATATATTTGTAACAATTATTTCTATATATATATATATATATATATATATATATATATATATATATATATATATATATATATATATTTCTATATAATTATCTACATATTTTAACTTAATTTTTAATAAGATTATTATAAAATTTACTGAAGAAAAATATTATTAGTATTTACAAGCAAATATACAGACATATGTTTACAGTGTTATCCTTTCAGTTTTAAATATTATTTACATTTAAATTGAAACACGTAGCATTCGTTGGCATAAGAATGTACGGCGGCATTGTCTCGTGTGGATAATCCGGGATTACTTGAGAGACGTTAAAACTCTGTAAATATGAAGTAGAAAAATGTGAAAAAATATACTTTAACTATCGATCGTGAAAGGCTTCATTAATACATAGAGAAGTGGTTCAAACACAAAAGTCTTTTAGAGTATTAATCCGAAATATTAACACAGACATTAAATTTGATCTTTTATTTATTTCAATTATAATTAAAAATATTTCTAATATATACACATTTCTATATATTTTGTACAACTTATTTTATTCTGCGTGAGGCAGCCAATATAGATATATTTTAAAATTTTAAAAATACTTCACATATTCGTCACTACACGAGAAATCAGGAAGACACCAGGTCCAAACGTAAATCGCTAAAATTTTTGACTTACGTATCTTTTATGCATAGCCAAACAAAAGGTGCAAACTTGTGGCCTCGTCGAACAAACGCCGCTGTTCTCCAGAAGGCGTGAGCAAGGCTGATCTGTTGCGCCCACAATGAGTATGGCATCCAAATGACTGATGTAACTGCTGGCCAGCCTCAGGGTCTCTATTTTCGACAACTTCCTGTCTGCCGGCTCGGTCGGAATCAGAGTTCTCAGGGCGCTGAAAGCCGTGTTCACGCTGCACAACGAAGATCGCATTTCTTCAATCGCGCACCTGCGTCCCAGCAATCCAAAAAAGACGTACTTCGCTCGCGATCAATATATCCGTTACGTGTCTATCTTGCTTATTATGTTTATCGTTAACACATTTGTATCAAATAAATGACTAACCGTCTTCTAGGAAGATAAATCGAACAACTTATTTTTTTAAATAGTCTCAAATATTTCTCTTATCTAGATTTTTCAGAAGTCCGGATCGTGCGTTCTAAAAACTACGAACAACATACAAACTCGCAAGCACATGACATTAGTTTTTTACAAACATGAATTCTAGACTGTTTAAAAGTAAACTCTTCAATCGAAAAAAACCACCGATTCTCTGAATCCTTTATCTTCCTGGCGCGATAAAGTGTACCTCGCGAGTAATCTTCTTCAAACATATATCTTACACTCCGCCGTTCATTACGATTACGATTATCATCACGTCGAGAATGAAACTTTTCACAAATCTTCACCTATGAGTGCGATCCCTTTCTCGAGCGTTCGCTTGATACCGTTGCTTCGTCGATTCTTCTTTCTTGCGCGCTGCCATGTTCCGTTTCTCCGGTATTCGATGACCAAACTCGGAATAGCGCTTTCGCCGACCACTCGCGGTGATACAGTCTTCGTCAATGAGCGGTCGAGCCGCAGCCTCTTCCCGTTCCTCCGGAATATGAAGCTTCCTCTCATCTCTGCTCCTTCCTCCCTCTTACTCTCTCTCTTACTCTCCCTCTTTCCCTCAGCAAAATCTGACACACACGTGAGCTGCACGTGTATAGAATCAGGGGCGGAGAAAGGTCTTCCTCTTTCTCTTCTTCGGTTCTCCTTCCATTTCCTCTGTTTCTTCTTTATATTTATTCATCCGGTCTCTATTGCGTCACGTTGAAAGTGCGGCAAATAAAACAAAACGGGAAGGTAAATTTATAAATTGTAAGTGCAAATATTGTATCTAAGGCGATTACTTACTATTCAAAGTCGGGAAAGTGAACTTTGAGTTTGTAAACAAACGTTATCACCTTTGTGTGAAACGCAGTTGTTTCACTTGCTGTAAACATTCAGACAATCCTTCACATCCTTTAATTTAGTATTCATCTCGTTCAAAATATACACACTGACACTCACTCTCTCACACACACACACACACACACACACGCGCGCGCGCGCGCGCGCGTATGTATGTATATTTTGAGCAAGATGAATACTAAATTAAAGTGAATTATAAATTAAGTTACGTTATAGTGTGTGTATATATATATATATATATACACATACACGAAGTTAAATATATACGAAGTTAAGTTGCGTGGATTAAGTATATACAAAGTTAAATTGCGTGGATTATAAATTGAGTTACATTATAGTATGTATATGTGTGTATGTGTGTATGTGTGTGTATATACACCATATATCGCAGGGACGAAGTTAAGTTGCGTGGATTATAAATTGAGTTACGTTATAGTGTGTGTGTGTGTGTGTGTATATATACACACATATACACACACACTATATATATATATATATATATATATATATATGTGTGTGTATATATATATATATATATATATATATATATATATATATATATATATACACACTATAACGTAACTCAATTTATAATCCACGCAACTTAACTTCGTCCCTGCGATATATGGTCTGCGTATGTGCTTCCCACACGCAGGCATACTTTCACGCTTACTACGCGACTGATGCATTCCATGTAAAGTGGTCGGCGGCTGCGTTTCGCATTAAGCTGTGTAAAAACGTGGATGACCGTAGCGACTGGGCGGTAGAGTAGGGCAAGGGAGACAAATTCCATCTGCAAAACTAATTAGCGCCCCGTCACGGCACGTTTCCATCCGTTCCTCTCTCTCTTCCTCTCGTCGCATGTTCGCCAATTTCACCGGTTTCGTACACACGATTACACGCCGACACGCTACAGAAATTAACCGTTAGATCTCCTTATTTATCGTAACATTGGTATCAGGCGAATACAGCTACTTCGGCGATGTTCAATTATCTCGAACGATAATCACGTACAGTTGTCGAAAAAGCGAGAGAAAGTGCATTGAAGAAATGTCGAATCGCACACACATACACACTCGAGAGTTTCGTATAAAATGTTTACTCAATTAAATAATTAGGTTACATTAAATCAGTTATACAGCATGTAATGTACATGTCTCTCATCACATGTGGTCGTCACGGATCAGAGGCTATTTCAACATTCGATATTGTCGGAGACATATTACGCGGAAACATTCGTTGACTAAGACAGGATCTCTCGGTAATTCGCGAATTTATCTTCGGTCGCTTTATGCGTATTTTCTTTTTACTTAATTACCACCGATCAACATCGCGCGTACGCACGTACACATACGTGCGTATTAATAAAAGCTACCAAAAATCAGCAATCTTTCAATGGAAAGCCATTTTAAAAAATATATGTAGAAAATATAAAAGTCTGATAGATTAAAAAATAATAATGAAACTTATAAATTACGTTTCTTGCGTACGATTAACGATCGAGCAAATTGACATGATCGCAGTTTGTCATACGTGCAGATTTTACAGAATGCAGTCGGTCCTAAGATTCTATAAACAAATTCCACACGTACTTGGTTCTTTTTCTCTTACGTACACTCTTGCGTAGTATATTTTTTGCTACATGCACTATTAGAATTATTTAAAGTAATATAAAAGTACCAGAGTAAAAAGATGTACAAACAAACTGTTTCATTCGCGGTAATACATGGTATTCATCAATCGATCTTGATCGATTTCTTTAACATTTTTCTATATATATATTTTGAAACTGTAGAAACTGAATTACTCGAAGGAAAACTCTCATAATCATGTTCAAACGTAACAGTTTGATATCTACATCTATGATGATAAAATAATAGCTAAATACGACGCGTGCAAATTCAACGCTTTGGTATCTTCGTAAAGCGCTGAATCTGCATTACTTTCTGAAGAACGCACACATACATATATACATACTCATATATATATATATATATATATATATATATATATATATATATATATATATAT